TTCCATCAGATGGTTCAGTGAAGAAATATCAGTATATAAAATGAAATGGATCAATCGGATGGTTTGATGAAAAAATATCAGTACCTGTAATTCAATACGGACACCATAGACATAGTATGGTCTTATTCATGGAAAGTTTAGCTGGTTCCTGATTTGATCTATCCATGTATTTGCTGTGATTGGTTTAACATTGTGCTTTTTAGCATTGAACATCACTGGTCTTGCCTCTGGGTGCTCTTTTGTAAGCTATGGATAGGAATGTGTAATTAATTGACTTCACAAAGCTGTTTCTAGAGGTTACTGATTACCTGCATGACATACAGGCAGAGTGGATGGCACCAGAAGTACTTCGAAACGAACCATCTGATGAGAAGTAGGTTTCTCATGTTTTTATGATTTATCTTTTCTTTAGTTTAGTCAGCTTGCATTTGCCAAATATATTTGCATTTTTGCAGATGTGATGTTTTCAGCTACGGGGTTATATTATGGGAACTTTTCACACTACTTCAGCCATGGGAAGGTATGAACCCCATGCAAGTTGTTGGAGCTGTTGGTTTTCAGCAACGTCGCCTTGATATTCCAGCTCATGTGGATCCCACCATAGCAGAGATAATAAGGAGATGCTGGCAAACGTGAGTATGCTTTGATTTGCTGGGCTGCAGTGACTGTTTTCTGAATATGTAGAGCATTCTTTGTATAAATATGCTACTACTGTTCATAAACTTATGACATTATAAAATCCATGCAGTCAAACTTCTTTAACAACTGCATATCAAAGTCTGTTAAGATTGATCATGTAAACTGATACCATTACATTTGTCACTTAAAGTATATTTTCATATTATTACAGTCTTTTAGTTTTCATGTGCATATTCATACAAGAATTAACGGTATGAAACTTACTTTCTTTTAGTTGACAAATTTACTATCTTATTCCAACTAGTATGAACAAGCGAAGCAAACTTAACTACCATGAATTTGATATGTGTTTTGTATACAAAATTGGAGTATGTTTAGATGAGTTGTATGTCACTATATGTGGAGGGATAAAAGATATTCTTCTCCACATATAGTGACATGCAACTCATCTAAACAAAATGGATAGATTTATTGGTTTCGTGATGAACTTCTCAATAAATTGAATTGATGCCTTCCTCTTGTCTGCCTCTGCCACTATCTTAACTCCATTTTGTTTTTCTGTTGCTGCAGAGACCCAAAGATGCGTCCATCATTTTCAGAGATCATGTCTTCCTTAAAACCATTATTGAAAAACACGCTTGCCAATCAACCCCAAAGGCAGCGAGTGCAACGAGCAGATGGCTAAGAAAATGGAGGTCAACACCAGGCGACAACGTTAAAACAAGGTGCCTTGGTCTTTCATGCCTTCCAGTAACTGCCCACCTGTAACTATACCATTATTTTGTATAGCAACATCAAATGCATGGCTAAGGTGAAAAAGGTGAAGTTCTATTTTTGTCCACCCGTCCGAATACACTGTAAATTTTCCACAGGCAAAGAAATGCCGAGCTTAGAAAAGCAGCCAACCCATCAAGCAAAAGAAAAGGTAAAGGAGGGAAAAGGAAAATTTGTGCAAAACTACTGTACATTTTTTTTTCTTCCTTGTCATTTCTTTGGTTCCCAAAGGTTGAGTATTAATGTGTAAGGCCCAATCAATTGTATTGTTGTTCAACATAAAAGGTCAGTCATCTTAATCAGCAAGCTTGAAGAAGCCCTCTGGCAGGGCCCCTGTGTATATCACATTCTGACAAATTCGTCGGAACTGACAATTAGATTGCAGGAGAAAAACCCCTTTTTGTACCTAACCATCATTCTTTACTGGAACAATATTGAATCTCATTTCCATATTTCGGATTCAGATCAGGTGCAGTTATAGCTGTGACTGTAACTTAAGAACTGCAAGCAATTTCAGCCGTCCATTTCAGTGATCAATGGCTCAGATCTAGTGATACAGCGACCGTACAAACAGTATTCTGTGCTACAGTGCTACGAACAGTATGCCTCACTGATCTGGACCTTTCCATTTGCATCTGTCGATGAAAACTGGTACTGCCTAAGTTGCAGTCCCAGCAGCGACTGCACCTGATCCGGATTCACATATTTCTTGGTGTACAACTATATATCCCATACAGAGTAGAACAGTAATCGAAACTACAGCCTTCTGCTGTTTGTTGTTGCGTTTTCTCAAATTGAAAGAATAAAAAGTACTACATGGGAAAGAGCAATTGAACAATTTCTCGAACTCTTTATTTGTCATCTACTTATCATAATTTGTGACAGTCGAGGTCTGGAAGCTTATCACGATTGTTTGCTACTTCGTCATGCCCAAATTTACAGTGTGGTGTTTGCTTCCTCAAACATTTTAGCTGTAATACGTTAATCGCATTCTGCAGGGTTTGTTTTGTTGTTCTGAAATACTGAAATACGTTTGCATTCGCTGTTTCTCTGTCCAAATCACTTGTCATTTGGACGACTTTTGCCCGGAGCTAGTAGTAAACCTAGTTGTACTGAATTGATAAGTGCTGCAGTTCACCTAGATGGGTTCCACCCAATGATTTCTGTATCTTTCAAGCAGTATTTCCAAACAAAAATAAAAATAAAATGTTAGTCTAAGAGTTGCAGTTCCCTATGAAAATAGGGTTAGACATTCTTCAAAACTCGTTAGCTTGTTTGGCTCGTTTGGATTTATGGACGAGCTTGAGTTAAGATTATTAAGGGTGTGTTTAGTTGGGGAAAAGAAAATTTTTGGGTGTTACATCGGACGTTTAACCGGATGTCGGAAGCGGTTTTCGGACACGAATGAAAAAACTAATTTCAGAACTCGCCGAGAAACCGCGAGACGAATCTTTTGAGCCTAATTAAGCCATCATTAGCACATGTGGGTTACTGTAGCACTTATGGCTAATCACGGACTAATTAGGCTCAAAAGATTCGTCTCGCTATTTCCCCCATAACTGTGTAATTAGTTTTTCTTTTTATTTATATTTAATATTTCATGCATGTGTCCAAAGATTCGATATGATGTTTTTGGGAAAAACTTTTTGGTAACTAAATGGACCCTAACTCGTTATGTATAGCAAGCCAGCTTGAGCTGGCTTGTGAGCTCATAAGCTAAATGAGCCAAAGCAAGAAGCGGGCCAGCAATCCAACAGCAGCTCAACACTTGCTGTGTTCTTCTCCCAGTTTTTCCAATTCATCTATCTCGTTTTTCGCGCGTACGCTTTTCAAGCTGTTAAAGACGTATTTTTTGTAAAAGAATTCTATACAAAAGTTGTTTTAAAAAATCATATTAATCCATTTTTCAAAAAAATAGTTAATACTTAATTAATCATGCGATAATACGTGCTTCGTTTTGCATGCCGGGGAGGAGGGGGTCACAAACCCCTCTTCCCGAACGCACCAAAGGTCTATCTATATAACACAAAAAAAAACAAAGCGCATATGTTATCCGCACCTGTGGCATGTGGTCTTCTCGAGTCTCAACTCAATCCATTCTCTCCATCCACTAGTTGTCTTGTGCTGCTTCGCTCGATCATAGACCTGAATATTTAGACTTGTTTTGCTATGTGTTGGTTGATTGTATAGAAGTATCGTGCTAATGACACATTTACTAATTTGTATGTTGGTTTGATACTTATATTGCGTGCGAACAATTGTAAACTCGAATTAATGTTGGTTTGAATATGTTGGCTCGTAAGCTTAACGAGCTAGCAAACAAGTCAAGCCAAGCCAATTCATTATCCTAACGAGCTAGAGCGAGTCGAGCCAAGCCAAGCCAAGCTAGCTTGATATTTAACCTTATCTGGAACGTTGCAATCTCTATCTATTCAATAGAAACAAAAACTAGAGGTATGGGTTGCGTTGATTGGTATCATGTTACGTGATCTATAGAGAGAAAAACTACAAGCATGTCCAGTTCATTGAGAAATTAAACCTCCCTATTTGTTGGTAAAGGAAAAAAAAGGCAATTGATAAAGTTGGCAATGCCATTTTTATTTTTTCTTTTGCAAAAGTTTGGTAATTGTTGGCAATGCTACTTTTCTCTTTGCAGTTTGCAGCGTCAAGATGTAAAGAGCCTATTTCGTTGGACACCTTACTTAAAAATTGGTGGATTTTTTTTTGTGTAAATGTTTTAGGGATTACCAAATTTTAGTAAAGATAAATAAGGTTGCGATATTAAGTTGGTTACCACCTCCGTCTTAAAATACAGCTATTTCTAGCACAATACTTTGTCCGAAAATGAAGGTATTTCTTCACCTACTCCCTCGGTCTCAAAATAAGCTAATCTCGTATTAGGATGTGACACATCCTTGTACGAGGTTAATTTATTTTGGGACGGAGGGAGTACCCTCTTCTATCAACTAATCACAACCATTCTCTATTTAATTTCTTCGCTTACTTTCTCTTCTCAACCAATCACAATCTTCCTCAAATCAGTTTTTACCTAATTTTTTTATACCCGTTCCTATCAAAAAAATGTGTACATTTCGGTACGGAGAAAGTATTAAAATTTAGGGCTTACTTGAATTGAGGTTATTCTTTTTCCTACCACAATTTTACTTCAATATTTTCAAATGAATGTTTGGTTGCTACCAACTTTCACTCGTACTATCAAATCTAGTGCTAAAACTTGCCAATTTTTTTTAATAATATTAAAATGTTGGTAAGGCAACAATAGGCTCCGAACCAAGCAACTGAACATGAAAAAAAAAATTGTTCAAGTCAACTACTCTCTCTGTCCCACAATATAAGGAATTTTGAGTTTTTGCTTGTAACGTTTGATCACTCGTCTTATTCAATTTTTTTTTACAAATATAAAAAAGGAAAAGTTGTGCTTAGTCATAAATAAAATAAATAATAATTTCAAAATTTTTTAAATAAGACGAGTGGTCAAACGTTGAAAGCAACAACTTAAAATATTAAAATATTATGAGATGGAGAGTGTAGTGATGTAGCAGTAGTCAATCAACCGAACCTGGCGAGTGGCAACCCTCTCTGTCCTACATTTCCTGATTTCCCCTTGCCGTCGCCAGCGTAGGCCCGTCCTCTCCTCCCGAAGCCACCACCGGCCCACCGTCCATCCACGCCGCCGCACCACGTGCCCCCACGCCCCCGACGCGCAAATCACCGCGTGATCCGATCCCCCCTTCTTCCCAAAGTCCAAGCCTCACTCTCTCCCTCTCCATCCCACGCCTCGCTCACTAGCGCACAGATCTCCTACCACCACCACCACCGCCGCAGCCATGGCGACCGGGTACTACCGCGGCGGCGGCGGCGCCAGGGACCACGCCGACGAGCCCGACGACTTCGACGAGTACGACCCCACGCCGTACGGCGGCGGCTACGACCTCTTCATCACCTTCGGCCGCCCGCTCCCGCCCTCCGACGAGACCTGCTACCCTTGCTCCGCTCCCTCCACCTCCTACGACGCCCCGCACTACTCCGCCGACGAGCCCTCCCCCTACGCCCACCACTCCAAGCCGCAGCCCGCCTACGGCTTCCGCCCCCAGCACGAGCAGCAGCAGCAGCCGTCCTACGCCTCCTCCGGCTACCGCCCCCAGCACGAGCAGCAGCAATCCTACGGCTCCTCTGGCTACGGATCTAAGCCCCAGCCCGCCTATGGCTTCCGCCCCCAGGCCGAGGAGGAGAACACCTACGGCTCCGGCTATGGATCTGGGTACGGTGGTGGAGGAAGGAAGCAGCAGGAAGAGGAGAGCTACGGCTCCGGCTACGGTCGCAAGCCGCAGGTCGAGGAGAGCTATGGATCAGGGTATGGGACCAAGCCGCAGCAGGAGGAGAGCTATGGATCAGGGTATGGATCTGGGTATGGGACCAAGCCGCAGCAGGAGGAGAGCTACGGCTCCGGCTATGGGAGGAAGCCGCAGCAGGAGGAGAGCTACGGATCGGAGTATGGTTCCGGCTATGGGAGGAAGCCGCAGGCCGAGAGCTATGGATCGGGGTATGGGAGCAGGCCACAGCAGGGTGGGGAGGAGTATGGTAGCGGTGGGTATGGGAGGAAGGCTCAGGAGGAGAGCTATGGTTCCGCGGGCTATGGCGGCAGGAAGACCGAGGAAGAGAGCTATGGTGGTGGTTCTGGTTATGGATATGGGAAGAAAGCCCAGGAAGAGAGTGAAGGGACCTATGGCTCTGGTGGTTACCCCAAGCCGAAGCCTTACAGTCAGGAGGAGACGCAGGGTTCTTATGGGTATGGGTACGGCGAGAAGCCTGCGTATGAGAGTGGTGGATACAACAAGCCGAGCTATGGCGGGGGAGACGAATACCAGGGAGGCTACGGCCGCAAGAAACATGTGAGTGCACTTCCCTGGTCCTCTGCATTTTACCTATATGACCATTTTCTATGCTTGATGTAATGGCTAAAAGTAGCGTACGGTGGGTTTTGGAAGATAAGGATATTCATTTGCACAATTGTATTAAGCCACACTATATATTACTATAGGAGATAGATGATGAATTAAAACCATTGTTGACCTTCTTGGTGTGCATAGGAAAGTTATGAATTGTATGACATTAGAGAAATGGTTTCTAAAAATAGTGGCTGGCATAATATAGGCTTGTGATGCTTGAAATAGTTCTAGGCAATGTAGTGTTAACTCATGGAAGTGTTATTCAGCTTATCCATATGTAACTATCAACTACAGAATTAGATATCTTTAGTGCACAATTCCTTGTGACATGTCTATAATGCTAAATCTTCATCAATGCTAGTTAGTTTATTTTATCATACAAGTGCTGCGCAAATTGACCAGTTAAATGTTTGTATTATCTACAGAAGATGGACATTACTGTACTCATTCATACTAAATATATTAGTGGACTGGATCTTGCATAATACGGAGTACTAATTACTTTGATATGCCATATCTGTTACGTGCAAATTCACCAGTTAAAATTTTTGGTATGTCTACAACAAATGGGCATTACTGAATCATATCACACAAATGCCCATTCAGGAACCTTTTACATGTAATTTATCAGGCTAATAAAGTGGTGTACTCCAAAATTATAGCAGCACTTGCGTAAGAAAGGCTGGAATAACTAAGATTGCGCTAGTAAAAGTTAGGAGTCAAACCAGAGACTACTACAAACTTATGCTTGGATCATGGCCATCTGTTAGTTCAAATATTTGTACATTGATATCTGGCTCCAACCTAACCTGCAGACATAACCTATGGCTGTAGGATCATTCTTGATAGAAGTATAGGAGCATTGAATTTTCATTCCAGTGACTGCATACTTGTCTACTAGATTGGTGATTTTCCTGCATATAGAGTTGGGCAGACCCCAACTGTTTCCTCTGCATGCCTGGTTTATTTGGTCATCCTCTTCTTTTTTTTTTCAAATATTTCCACAGTTTTTTGGCTAAAATTTTTCATGTTTGTTTGCATCTTTGAATTTCCCCAGTGAAAGTGTGCTACAACCTTTAGCATCACACCATTTTTAATCATAAAAGTAGTGAAATATGGTATAAATGGAAGCTAAAAAGAGTTTTTCAGGGAAATCATTATTGACATGACACATGGTTTGGATGTTAAATAGAGAAAGAGGGAACTGCTAATCTGGTGCCTGACTGCTGGCTTAGTATCATTACTTTTTATCATATGGCTTAGTATCATTACTTTTTATCATATCCTATATGATCCCCATGTATCAAATATCATTATTTGTCATCGTATTGATGTTTTCCCAAGCATATAATTAGTCTGTTACTGTGGAAGGGACAAGGTAAAATTCTCTATATATTGGTAAATTTGCATCTTAATAAGGCGTAATGGAACTCTTAAAACTCAAGAGGAACAGGGGTACCTCACAATTTTATTGTGTTTTATTTTTTCAGAACCACTTGTTAGATTTATAGTATATTGTATGGTTCTGTAACTAATTTTCTGATGAGGATGCAAATTTCATAGGCTCAGAAGAGCATTTGCCATTGTGCTTCTGTTGTGCAGAGCTGTTCTAATGTATCTTCAATGTAGACTTTACACCGGAGGATGAGAAGTAGATGGTTTCTATTCCGTGCTAAGTAGTTCATGCTGTCTTTTTGTAGGATGACAATGACTCTGATGATGAAAAGAAGCAGCGTTATCAGAAGCACCACCACCATCGCCGCCAGGAGTACGATGATTAAGCTTCCGGTGCGTTATCTTCTACGGGGCCATCGATTGCTGCTATCACTTGCCAGCCATAGTACTCTGCGTGAATAAAAGATGCTCCTGCTCAGTCGTTTCATCGTTCGTCTCATGGACACTATTTGTTATCCGTCTCCATGATAGTATGATGTCGCTTCAACACTGATAATAAATTGTGGCTTTGCGCGTGTTTTTTTATGTTTGAAGCATGTCTAAACAATCACTCTGTCAGTTATCATTTCTTTGCTTGGGATGATTGGTGTATATATGTGCCCCTGTTGCGTCTACTATGTTCTTGATCTTGCAGTTGGTTACAACATCCCATCTGCTAGAATTGTTGCTGCAGGGGGTTGTAGTGGAGCTGAAGACAACGGTGGCGTCGGTAAGGAAAGAATGAGTAGGGGGCGGAGAAGAGGGGCGATGAGGCCATGGGGGTGATGGTTTCGCTGCTTTGCACATGGTTTTGAATATAGATTTTGTTAAAACTTGGGGTTTGTTGTAGGTTAGTGCATGTCCATGACGTCTTCGAAACTTAGCCTTTCTTTTATTTTTGCTGGGAGAATTTCCGTTGAGTTGGAACGGTAAGCTTCAAAATCTCGAAGGTAAAAACCGTAGAGCTGCACCCTAGCTGGTCCTCCCACACCGTTGTCGTCCGTAGAAAGTGATTCACTTGAAAACAGTATTAGTCATCCGAGCGTAACGATATCGTTGGTTCAACCAGTGCAAGATAAGTGGCCGGTTAACCTTAATAGGGTCATTCTTTCCTCGCTGATTCCGTCAAGGCGGCTATTTCTTCCGCCGTTGGTTTCGTTAGATAGTAATCAGTGACAATGAGAGTCTTGTTAATCTATTCATACGTGTCACAAATTAGATAAGGTATTTGGTTATCTTATAAATCGTTTATAGTTACTCCTGCCGTTTACGCACGGTTCATCAAATTTATTCATTTTAACAGTTAGAAGGACAAAAATCATATTGTGTTAGCATTTGTAAGAACCATTACAATAGTTGTTTCAATTAACCATTTGAATTCCCCTTCTTTGTATAAGTTACAACTCCATGTTTAATGTTGGAACCCTCAACCCTAACTATTAAAACCAATACTTATTTCGAAAGGAACTATCTATATATATGTAGTACCATTTAACTGAAAAACTTCTAGAAATTTTGCAAATTCTAGACCATCCGATTTGCTTTAAGATTCATGTTAGACAACCAAACCCTAAAACCCCTTCCTTCTTCATCCTTCTCCAACACCCCTTCATACCGCCTTCGCTCACAGCGTCTGATCCACACCGCTCCAGTGCACCGCTGCCCGGCCTCACTGGCTAGCCGGAAGAGTCAAAGGTGTCAGCGAGGTCCCTCGGCCGGCCTCCTCCCTCTTCCTTTCCCCCTTTCCCCTTCTCTTCCCCAAACCAGCGGCGGTGAGTGCCTTCACCCCCGTCTTTCCCGTCTTCGGTGGCTCTCCGTCATTGGATTCGTTACCACCAACCATCACCTCCTAACCATAAGCTTGCTTTGCCCATGCCACCGGCGCCGACTCACTGCCGGTCTCCATCCCCACGGCTTTGGCTTGTCGTTGACGCCTCGCCACCCGCCCGTGTGCCCCGTCCACCGCTAGGCCATCGTCTTCCACGGCCATCCCTCTAAGCTTGGTGATATTCCTCCTCTTCCCTTGAAGCACGGATCGTAAAGCAAATCCCAAGATTAGTAATTTGCATGGGCTCCAAAAATCTGTCGCCAAGCCATTTAGCTATCCTGTTTCCAAAATTATAGATCAGTTTTTGTCTGCTTGTTAGTCTACATTGTTCCATTTTTTGAAAGTTTGTTCACCTTGGAATCTAGCACGGTCCTGAAAATGTAATCTTGATCTTGCCCGGCATATTTCCTCCGGCGCTGCGCCGCTGCTTTCGACGGCGACGTCCAGCCAGCACGGTCCACAGGAGCTGACAAGACGTGATGCTGCAACGGCTTGCGCCGCCATCACACTTTTATGTAGCCCATTCTCGCCAAATCGCTACACGTGTACCAATTACCAACCTGACTATAAATGCAGAGCATGTTTATGTTGGTCTGTTGCATGCCTTCTGTTGAGCAATCGGCCACCCGAAGAATCCACTTTTCTTGTCGGTTTGTTTTCCATGTAGGCCAACCTGGTGATCTAAAACCAGTTAGAACATGAGAAAAGCATGATTTCTGATTTTTTTCCCCCCTAAAATTATCACATTCAAACAAGATAAGTTACAGTGCTATAATGGGTGGAATACTGAAATGTGTGGTAGCTTTGCTGAATTGCTGTTTTCCTATAAATAGAATTCATCCGTATCCATATCCGTGCGCCGGATTTCTAAAATCCCATAGCATATCCTTATTTTGGACGGTTTCGAAGCAGATCAGATTGAATATTATCCGATCTATTTTCACCCATATTGGCTGTTGTCCTGTAAAAAGAACTAGCTGGGTGGCCTGCACAATTGCGCGGCTAGCATCCAAACAAAATCATATTTTTTTTAAGTATGATTTTACTTAAAATTTATTAAATAACTATCTCATTGTCTTAAGAGTTTGAAAGACCAAATCTTATCATCCTAGTGTTTCTAATTATATAGTTTTTTAAAAGTCACATCAGTTGCTACCCCTTATGTCATCTCCTTCTTTATTTGCTTGCTCGATTTACCACTATTTCTATTCATTCTCCTTGGAACCTTTAAAAATTGGATCTTATAGTTTTTAGAGTTTATTGTCATGTTGGGTTTCGTTTTTATAATTTCTAGACGTCCCGTCAAACGTTGCCATTATACTCCTCTATGGTCCGTCCACTGTCTCTTCTCTTTGTTGTCATTGTGATCGTAAAAATCGAATATAATTATCGTTTGGGTTCATTTTTACTTTCTAGAAGTCCTGCCAAACCGTCAGCGGCTTTGCCATTGTACTTCTCTACGGCTCGCCCGCTGCCTCCCTTCTTTATTGTCATTGAGATTTTAAAATTGAACATGATTATCATTATTTTTTCTTTACTTTATAGAAGTTCCGAACCTTTAAAAATTTAACCTTGTAGTTTTTAGAGTTTATTGTCTTGTTGGGTTTCATTTTTTATAATTTTTAGAAGTCTCGTCAAACGATGCCACTATGCTCCTCTACGGTCCGTCCGCCGCCTACTCTTTATTGTCATTGTGATTCTAAAAATCGAACATAACTATCGTTGGAATTCATTTTTTATTTTCTAGAAGTCCCGTCAACCATCGGCGGCTCTGCAACTATACTCCTATACACCCCACCCGCTGCTTCTCCTTTTTATTGTCATTGAGATTTTAAAAATCGAATATGATTATCAATGGGTTTTTTTTTTACTTTTTAGAAGTCCCGGCAATCGCCTTGCTCGTTTGCTTTACGGCCTGTCTGTCGTCCCTCCTTTTAATCGTCATTAGAATTCTATTTGGTGTTTTATTAACAGTTTTTATATGTCGTATCAACCGCCACCATTCTACTCTTTTATAGGCATGTTACTTAATTTATCTCGTCATGTGTTTTAGATGGTTTTTTCTTTCAATAGTCTTTATTTTTATCATAAATTTTAGTTATTTATAAATCGTATTCCTAATTAAAATAATATTTTCTTTTTCTAATTTCAGAATTTATTTTTTTTCAAATTTTAATTAATATCGTATTGTGTTCTTTTAATATTTTTATTTTTTATTTTCAATTTCAGTTGTTTCAAAATTATATTCCTACTTGAATTCTCTTTTAGTTTTTCTAGTTTTGGATATTATTTTATTTTTTATTCTGAATTTTATTTAATCTCATATTGGGTTCTTATATGGATTCTTCTTTCAATATTGCTTATTTTTAATTATGAATTTCAGCTATTTTTAAATTGTATTCCTACTTGAACTCTTCTTTTTTTTGCTAATTTCGGATTTTATTTTTATTTTTATTCCTAATTTTAATTAATCTCGTATTGGGTTCTTATATGGACTCTTCTTTTAATATTACTTATTTTTAATTCCGAATTTTAGCTATTTTAAAATTGTATTCCTACATGGACTATCCTTTTCTTTTCTAATTTTGGATTTTATTTTATTTTTTTAAAATTTTGATTAATCTCGTATTGGGTTCTTGTATGGAAACTTATTTCAATATTGCTTATTTTTAATTCTGAATTTCAGCTATTTTTAGATTGTACTTCTACTTGGACTCTCCTTTTTCTTTTCTTTTTCTTTTTCTCCAATTAATGTGGGAATTTCTAGTTCCCACAGCGAACGTGATGCCTCGTTTCAAAGCTGTTTTAATAATATAATAGATATATTCTTATTGTTAAGTAAAAAAACATGAATATTAGGGAAAAATCTAATATCAAATAATTAAAAGAGGTGATGTTTCTAATTCAGACCGACTAGTCTACCACCTTATGTACCTAGCCGGAATTAAAGACGTTTCTCAATTATTGTAGTTAAGTGAGTTTAGTATGTCGGTATGTGCAGCGTTGCCTGTTTCAACTAAACGTTGCTTGAAACGGAAGATTGTATCACCAACCGATGACTAGCGCAACACAGTGGTCATACAATGCCCACTGTATTGCGTTAACAGCCACAAATTTCGGTCAAACTAATTACATAGTATTAATATCTTTATATATTTCTAGATTAAAAAACTGATGACTTTTGGTACGAAACAATGCTGGTTCGTAGGAATCTCAAAAATATATCGAACAAAAATCTCCATTTCCGTACGGAATTTCTCGAACAGAATAGTTTTCATGTTTTTCACGCGCCAAATCGCCCCAACTACTAAGCTGAGAGACTCGTTCTCTTGCGCCCACGCCTTCCCTTTCTTCTCCCCCTCCGTTCCCGGCGAGCCCTCCTTCCCCGTTGCGCGACGCAACCCCGGCGATCGACGGACGAGCGCCGCCGCCACCATCACGCTGCGTTGATCGGCAACCTGTGATTGGGCTGCCCGCGTGAACAATGGAGGTGGCGCCGGCGGCGGCCATGACGAGGGCGGAGGAGGAGAGTCGCCGTCGCGCGGCGACGCGCCTCCCCAGGCTGCTCCGCGGCGTCGTCTCCGGCATGCTCACCGGTATATTCGCCGTCGGTACGCGCCTGCTCTCTCTCTCTCTCTCTCCCTCTTTCGTGGTCGCTTATCGCAAACAATCAGGAAATCAGCGTGTGTTTCTTGTCTGGTACGGAAAGGATCGCCATGGTTGGAACTTCGAAGCTTAATTAATTAGCCAAGAAATCTATTAACCGGTGAGGCGTGCGACTAATTTCTTGTGATCCCTGAAGATTATTGGAATTTCGAAATGCTTGATATAGGATTAATCCGAACGTTTCTTCGAGCTCTTCTTCTTGGTGCTGATTTTGGTTTCTTTGTGCTGGTTTGGTATGAAATGATGGATGAATTAAGCTGGGGGCTTGACGGGGGCGGTCACCGGAGCATTGGCCGGGAGAGCCTCCGACGGCGGCGTTCTCCGGGGAGCTGGGCTAGGGACATTTGCTGGTGCTGTCCTCTCCATTGAGATCCTTGAGGCCTCTCGCGCGTATTGGTGCCAAGATCGATCAAGCTCGCCTGGTTCATTGTCCATGGTGCGTAAGCTTCTTGATTCTTTCAACTGTTCAATCAATCATTCATTCTTGATTCTTCAGCTGTTCAATCAATCATTCATTCAACTGTTCAATTAATCATTCGCGCGTTTTGGTGTCCATTTGGATTGCATTAATTGTTGTGTTTGATAGTTCTCTTTTTTGTTTTCCCTGAGGAGTATTTGGGCCAAGATTTTAGAAAATGTTTTGAGGTGTTTTTGTGAAATGTTTTTAATTACGATGGGAAATTGGCCAGTGGCAAAATATGCTTATATGAAAAATAATTTGTTTGGCTTCCAGGGTGATTTTGTAAAGCAGCTTATTCATGCTCGTTTTGTGCAAGAGCAGAATGAGGCATCAGGACATATCACATATCGTTGGCAGGTCAGTGTCTCATTTCATATATGACAAATAGGTTTATGGCCACGACTGGGATTCGCAAAAGTATCCTTTTTTGGGGGGCAAATATTCAGTGGTATACAGTGAGTGAAGAATTCAAATGTCAATTGGCTTGTGTTGGAATTTCAAAGTTTAATGACCACTCTTTTTTCACTGAAAGTTTACATACTCTTTTTCTTAAACAAATTTTATTAATATTTTTTATAACAAAATGCTATGTCAACAGGTTGGTATTGCAGACGTTGTCAATGGTGCTGTACATGAAATCCTAGGAGATGTTCCATCCGGAGAAGGGCTTTCAAAATATTCTTTAATGAAATTGCCATACCATGTCGTGATAGATCATAATAATGGCTCAATTGGGGAAAGTTTGTCTTGCCCTGTTTGCCTGCAGGTACAAGCTCCACATCACATATACTGGGAATCGAATCCTAGTACTATTCCATTCATTTTAAAATAAGTTCACTTTTATATTGGAATGATTCATGTATAAAAGTGATTTTTTAGAAGGTAGTACATATTTGTATATTGGAGTATACTCCTAAGTCCTACTAACTATCAAATCGAAGTAGCTCGCAGTGTAGGGATTCTTTTGCTTAGAACATGGAATTTGATTTGCTCAAAAGAACTTGGAATTTAACTTGTCTGAATATTTACCATGCTATTTTTGTTTGATTTAATTTGGATATCCTGACCGATTTCCTTCAAAATAAAAAAGATATGCTGACGGATTGAATTGCTCTTGTAGGATGTTGTGGCTGGACAGACGGTGAGGAGATTGCCGAAATGCTCTCACACTTTCCATCAGCCTTGCGTGGACAAATGGCTCGTTGGCCATGGCTCGTGCCCTGTATGTAGGCAACATGTGTAGATCATAGATGACGTTTGGCTCTCCTAGAACCAAATTGACATGCTTTTGTGGCAAATATGTGTTATAATCATGCACAGAAAGTTTCTACCCAACTGTAAATCAGTCCTACATACGTGCGTCTCTCTCAAAAAAAAAAAAAGTTCTCTGCATCGGATGCGCTCTGGGTTAAACATTTCATTTTCCCACTTGGTTGAGAACATGAGATGTAACAAAATAGAAGTGTTCGTTTTTCTGTTATGTTATATCTGGAAAAATGGGTGTGCACTGTGATGTCGCTGCAATGTTCACATTATCAATCGGACTACAGCCATCTCTTTGCAACCAGATGCGCTACTACGACGGTAAATAATTATTCCATCTTTAGTTCTTGTTTTTTTACCCGTGCGTTGTAACGGGTGAATGTTATTTTAATTTTATTATTGTTATACGGTTTAGTTAGGATGAAGTTCACTTTGGGAATTCGCTTGGATTTTTTTTTTAAGAAAATCATAAGCTGCAATTAGAAGTTTGACTTTCATCTCAAATTAGCATGCAATTTTTTTAAAGAGATTTTTATACAACTCCTTATGTATTTTTTAAAACGAACAAACTTAAAAACCGACTCAAATACGGATATGTATTTCCAAAAGCGAATGAACTTAAAACTGACTCATACACGGACGATCTACCAAAATACCGGTAAAAACATCTGAAATTTTTATAATAGTAGAGATACGGTATGAATCTCATCCATTCAACATTCTCGGAAGTCGGAACAGATTTTCCCGGACGAAGGTCTTATGTCGTAGGACCTTAAAGCATAAAGAATGATTAGGACTGACTCCTGTCTGTATAAATTTTTCACATCATATCTAGACATATAAACAACTGGCACAATAGGTTATTTGCTGGTTGTCTCAAATAAATTCATATAATTAATGATTTGAGTATATAAATAGCTTGTAGATTAATGGTGCAGATGTATTAAGCTGTCCAAGGGCATGTTCAATGGTAGAAACAAGCATGGTCTCTTAAACAATACAAGATTATTTAGAGACCGTGTCTTTACAATAGTTGAGACGATAAAGGCTCTAATCATTAACTTAAAAAAATATTCCTTTTGTTAATATTCTTTCCATTTTTTTATCCTCATGCAACCATATTTCCATATTATAGTGATTAAGAATCGTTGTTAAGCCGTTGTTATACATAACAACGATGTTTTGTCTCTCATTTTTCTCTTTCTTCCATGTTAACAAGTAGTCCTAATTAGCAACGCTAAAAGACCAGTACTATTGACAACCATTATACATGCCCTAATCGATGTATTAAGTTGTCTAATAGTTCGTGTTCCGGTCAGCGAATAATGATATTCCCTATTATCACTCTCTTTCCTCCACATCATAAAAGAAGTTACTAAATTCTATCTGGCACCTTTTTCTTAGGGGTTGTTTATATTGATACTACTAGGTGATACCTTGCGCTTTGCTGCGTGATTTATGGATGAGTATATGGTAAATATTGTCGAAATGATGAAAGTTGAAATATTGAGAAAATAATGTGAGGAAAATGATTTGACACATTCTTGTTGATCTCTATAATATAATATTATAGATGATGTGCCATGCTTACATGGGATTTAAAATAGGCTAGAATATTAATCGATAGTGAGTGAAGATGTGGCATGCTTACATGGGATTTTAAATGGGTTAGAATAGTGCCAAAACTTGGCAATATTGCCAAATTACCAAAACTTGATAAGCTTTATTTTGGTTATAATCTAAACATCCCATTAGTTACTAATGTCACATAATTGTTCATGTCCTTAGGAAGAATGAAACAAGGGAACCGTGTTTGCCATGCGGTGTAGCACTTGGATTAATTAGTATGTCTTGTTCAGCCTAAGAGTTGAATGAAATTCCCTTAATGCCCCTACACTTCTAGTTAACCCAAGACAACCCTACGGGCAAGCTAGGCCAATCAATCGTATCTTCGTCATACGAGTTTGAAATCACGTACTCTCTCCGTCCAAAAATAAATCAACTTTTAGAGTTTAAAATTTGTCCTAAAATAAACCAACTTCTACCCTCTTACCTATCACCGATCCGTAAATCGAGAAGTTTTATTTCTTCAATACCACTTACCTATCCACCCATCAATATAACTTTGCTATTGATTAGGGGCATTTTGGTCCTTTGTCTCTACTCTTATATCCACCTTGGGAAGGTAGGGTTGGGTTTTTTTGGGACAGAGGGAGTATACCTAAGGGTGCACTGAAAAACTATCACCAAGCTCCACGCCATCTGGACATCTCCAACACTACGATCAACCCTCATAGCAGGGTGCTTCCCTTTGAAAAATTTGCCCCATCTTTCAAAAGCCTGTACCATAACTTTAGGGGTAAAAACGGATCGGATAATATCCGATCCGATCTGCTCCGAATCCGTCCGAAACAAGGATATGGTATGTGTTTTTAGAAATCCGGTGGATATGGATGCGGATAGTATGATGCGGATGAGGATATAGTATCTCTAAAATCTGACGGATGCGGATTATCCGACATTTAAATCAGATTATCCGATAGGGTGTTTGCTGGGCAATCATGTCTAGGAACAAAATTCTAACACCTAGACAACATGCACACACACCTAGACAACCATCAAGTTAAACCTTCAGAGACAAACTCATTCTTGGCAACAAAATCAAACTTAACATGACATGGCGCCAATTATTCATCAGAAGACACTGACCATCTACGTCTCACAACCAAAATTTTGGTATCGACAAGAATGCAACGGTGTTGTTTGGTTTGAGGCATTATCAAATTTTGATGTAGTTTTGTAAGTGGAAGGTTCTAAAGTTACCAAACTTTGGTAGAGATTGGTAATGTTGTGATGGTAGGGACATATTTAGTAGTTTCCTTATCAAAATTCGACAATATCAAAATTTCATAAAGTATTTTGGTAACAAACCAAACATACCCTATATTTCACTTGACTGTGTCATCTCAGGAATCATCTGCGGCGGCAATACACGCATAAACATATAACTAATTAATCCTACATTTTGTATCGGCCTAAAAGGATGAATTTGTACATGAGATGTTCCAAAGATTATGTATTTCACATTTTTGTTTGGTTTGTGAACCAGATGAGCCATACTAAAACAAGATGCCAATGAGCATTTGATCTGCTATACAAAATGCCCATGAGGCCATGTTCATGTGCTCAAACACCAGCATGACAAATAGCCTTGCCAAACCTTTTTTTTTTCAAAAAAAGAATCTTTTACAGCTAGCAAAACAAACCTCATACTTTAACAACATTCGATAGATAGCACCTAAGTCATAGCAATATTCAACATTTTGTCATTACTAAGTAACAGATCATTGAATCGTAATAGCCCATACCATTGAGATTGGACTAGCTTCAGGGGTTTTCCGGCTAGCCAGCCTGGGTTCAAAATCTTCCTCCTTCTATTTAATTGATATTAGGTCATTTTCTAATATTTGTGTTTTTTTAGAACGGGCTAGAAATTTCTTTAAGCCTTATGTTTTTATTCTCTCACGTTGCACGCTCGTGCGGTAGGAGAGGATGGAAGAAGAACAAACTCTGTTTTTATAGTCGTTTATAGAGACATGTCCACATCACTTTTTTAGATAATGGAATAGAATCACGGTCTTTGCTCAAAGAGCTATAGCCAATTATTACACCAGTTCAAAAAGACATAAAAACACACGCTAAAAAAATAGGAGCACGCACCAACTACTAAAGACGTCCACAGCATAAAAAGTCCACAAAATTATTGAATTCTATTTGTGAATCTCCATCTAAAATTGACAAAAATATACATAACCATTGATTCAAAATTACGACATGCAGGTTTTACTAACTTGATATCTTCATCACACTTTAGTAGTTGAGCCAAGGACCGGAGCCAATATGTTGATATAAAAAGAACCTGCATATAAGATACAGATGGTGACTTGTCAAAAACCATATCATTTCTACACAACCATATAGCCTAACTATAGCGGATGCTCCAACAAGAATAAATTTACTAGCTTTTTTTATTAATCCCCACCAGCCAATTCTCAAAAATACAAGATATACTATGTAGAGTATATACCAGAAGAAAACTGTAGAGCTCTCCAATGCATAGTGACACTAGCTCCAAAATTAAAATAAATGTTGAATAGTTTCATTTTTCATACGTAAGCAACATTTCAAAATACCATGCCAATTTCTCCTAGCTAAATTGTCCTTGGTTAACACAACCCCTTTAAACATTTACCGCATAAAAATCCTAATTTCAAGAGGCAACTTAAGTTTTTCCAAATAATTTTATTCCTCTTAATATAGCCATTATTAATTATAGCCAAGTATATAGAACAAACCGAGAATTGACCATCTATTATATACTGAAAGTCCATGAAACTCCCTTCAAACGCTCTCAAGCCGCCACGTAGCGCTCTAATAAAATAGAGAAAATCCAAGAAATTCTAAGAAAAAAGCAAAACATCTATCCCTTGATTTTCACTTAAATTGGTGGGTCCAATATTATACACCATTAGATAAAATTGATCTTAAAACAAACTAAATACAATGGGTTCACCTATCCTCTCCTCCCGTGAATTGGCAGATGGAGGATATACATACGTACATGGTATGTACGCTTCCTCCCCCCCCCCCCTATTTTTTTCCTTTTTTCTTCTTTTTTCCATTTATATATATAATGGATATATTGTTTAAATAATCATAATTTTACAAACAAAGACTCTACCATCATATAATGCACTCTTTACTTTGCACTATTATTTTCAAACAATGCACTATTTTAAAATAAATTTTACACAATTTTATCGTGTACCTATCAAATAAACAATATCTATATTAACTAATTTATACGTGCACTTAAACTGATGGCTCCATTATATAAATCATCGGATCTACTTTTTATTACACTGGTCTATCTATTATTCTCAAGTAATGCACTGTTTCAAAATAAGATCTACACCATTATATTGTGTACCCATTAAATTAACAATTTAAAATCTATATTAACTAATTTACATTTACACTAGAACTGGTGGACCTATTATTATAATCATCGGATCTATTGTTTGCTAATAAATAAAGCGTCCAAAATTCTCTTTTTGCCCGCTGCACAATGCACGTCTGCACCTTTGCCTTTCGCACGTGTGACAAAGCACAGTGTCTGAGACATCTAAGGTGATCACAACCGCTATAGCGCTACCGCTTTGCCACATATCAAA